AATTACCGGTAATCTTTGGATATTCAAGAATCGTAATTTATTCCTTCTACCAAACGTAGTAATTACATTTACCAAAGAAGGATTACCGGTAATACTCTTCAAAAACTTGAAACAAACACCCCTTATGGGAGAAAAGGTTTAAATAAAAAGTTTTGACTTTTGAGTTTTTCTATATTATTATTTTCGATATAAAAGCAGAGGGAGACCAGTACTTCTTCCTACAATCGAAATGGCGAAGCTCGTTTGGTCGCGGATTCTTAAAAACGGATGAATCAAAGTGAAGAGTGTGAGCGAATTGCTTGGTGGCTGTTTTGTAATCTGAAACTGAAAGGAGCATGTTTTAATATAAAGACAAGCATGGATTATGGCTATGGACTGGGTTCTATTTGTGGGCTTAATATAAAGACAAGTGGCATGTTTTAATGGGAAAAGTTTTTATCGTTTCAAAGGAGGTAAAGTATGTAAAGTTGTGTTATTTTAATTAAGGGAAATAAATAAATAAAAGAGGAGAGATAATAGACAAAAAAATATATAAATGACACAAATTGTGTGACAAACATTTTTCCCTGTTTTAATATGATGTTCACAAAGTACTGTTTAATATATAATCAGTAAATGAACTCTCTATTTCTCTGTCTGTTTATAATGTTACTAAAATACCATGTTTTGTCAAATTTTTTATCCAAATGCCACGCAAATAATATTTTTTACCAGACTGCCACGTGTCATAATTCGCTACCACTAGTAGCGAATTTCGTGGCTAATAATTTCGTGACACGTGATCATATTACAGACCAAATTCGCTATCAGTGGTAGTGAATTATGACACGTCAGCTTTTTCCTGCGAAAGTGTGCCACGTGTCAAAAATTCATTCGCGAACATAATATGCTACATAGGGTAGCGAAATACTACCTGCTTGACACTTGTCATTTTTGTTGACTGTGCATTCTGATGTTGCATAATTCGTTACATTATGTAGCGAATTATTTGCAAGCATATTTCGCTACACAGTGTAGCAAATTATCCCACGTGGCATTCTGAAAAATTTACTGTTGGCGTAGTAGTCTGGTAATTTTTTTGGTCAGGCGTCGCAAAATGGTCACTGTTCCGTTACTTGTGAAAGAATCAGTATCAATTTTTTTTTTTTTTACTGAAAGTATTTTTTATTTAAAAATTTTTTGAGAACCGGGGACAAAAGTCATTTACTTTACTTGCAAAGTAAAAAAAGAAGGAAATATTGTAATATTTCCATAAATACAATACATGAAATTGAAAGAGAAGAATTTTATTTTGGTTGGTGATAGATCAATTTTCAATTTAGTACTAAACACTCTTTAAGTCATTTTGACCGGACTAATAATGAAAGCCTTTAATAGTTTTGTATAATGTCATAATTTCAAATTTTATTGTCATCATATAACTAATTCTGCACAAATATAATAATACATCGTTTAGACATTTCTATGTTGTATTAAAATAACGAATTTTTCTTCTACTATCGCATGAGTATAGATTGCGGGCAATTTTTTTCTTTTAGAAAGAATCTAATTAAGAAATATTCATGATAACCATTGGCATAAATAAAAAGATTTTATTAATCTCATGTTAAAGGAGATAGTTATCTCATGTCATAGAGACAAACTAGTGGACTTCACTACCGAAAAAATAAAAGAAAAGAAAAGAAAAATGTGACACAATTATCGAAGGGTGTGTAAGAGAGAAAACTTATATCATGTGACATAAAAATAGTTTTTCCCTAAATAAAATTAATAAAATTATATGTGAACGAGCAATATAATACTTAAGATTGGCCAAACTTTCTAAGGATGCTTCTACTATTGGTTGCCCCTCATATATAAAGGTACACACGCCAATCCTATGTAACCAAATCAGAATTTACTAGCTTGTTCTTCGAAAAGTAGAATCACACTGCGTATAAAATAAAGTCTCGAATGGAATTCCTAGTAAGATTTTAGGTACACATCATATCATGCTGACATGCCTACACATCAAAAGGTTAAAAGGAAAAATTTAAAATAATTTAGCACAAAAGATGTACGTGTCTTGCCAAGGCAAAACCCAAACTAAAGAAAATAATCCTAATAGTTATTTACAAATTAAATCTTAACTTTAAGATTTAGAATTGAAACCTTTTTTAAAATGGTAGCTGAATGCAGAGAAAGAACATTTATGTGGATATTTATTACTGAAGGTGAAGGGAGGGAGGGGCAGGGGCACCTAATATGGGTTCTTCGTACACAGATACATAATGGATCTGAAAAAAGCTATTAGCATTTGTAACCAAAGGTACGAGACAAATATCATGCGACTACTGATTTCAAATGGAGGAATAAAGAGGACTTTGCTTGAAATCATTAGCTTCTTTGCCAGTCAAGCAATGTCCTCCTTATTCCTCCATCTCAAATCAGCAGCACATGGTATTTGTCTTGTAACTTGGGGTTACGGAGGCTAATAACTTCTTGCACATCCATTGAATTATCAAAAGATGATGCCTTTCATCTCCCCCCCCCTTGGGATTCACAATAACTCCAGCATTATCTGCATAAACCAACATCACAAGTCAAGTACTGTTGACTAAATAAATACATCAAAATTAAGAAGAAAAAAATTAGCACACAAGACACAGATCAAATGAAAACAACAAAGGTAAGTTAATCAACAATTGTCATAAACAAATCTCAAACAAAGAAGCTGTCTGAAGCCATCATAAAATTGGAAGGACAAATCCTAAACACTCCAAAGTCCAAACCAGAAAGGTCACTAAAAATAGTTTCGAACAATCAGTCATACAGAGATCAAATAAATCATATTGTTTGAGTGAGTTAAAAACTTAAAATGAAGCATTAACACATTCTAAGTGGTCAATCAATGAAGAATGTCCTCAGTACTTCCCAACCAGACAAAAAAAAAAAACAGAACAACCATAAGTGGAGGAGAAGGCATTTATATACCAGCAGACAGGTAACACAATGCAAAGAAATAAACATCATGCTGTTTAAAACTGGCAATTCCACAACTATATGCTTCCCACTGTGAATGACCAATCATTAATCTAGTCACCCAGCTTTATAGAAGCTAACATTTTTTTCAAAAAATAAAAAAATTCCTTTTGGGCACGTCGTATTATACTAATTCTCGTAAAATATAACAAAAATGAAAACATGGTACAGTAAAAAAAATGTAGATCAAGTGGTACCTTCGAAGTACATACAAACGCCGTCTTTTCTGAGAAAAGTCCTGAGATATATAATCTCACATTTTCAACTAATGTAGAGTTTATAAAGCCTTGAGCACTCTCACCCTTAGAGCTAGCTTTTGGGGTGGTGTATCTCAAGGTTCTTTATATTATATCAGAGTCTCGCCACCCCCACTTTCTCTTGTGGTGTTTCTTAGCACAGGTAGGCTGGGCCTCTTGTATTGTCCACTCTTCAAGCCCAATGGGCTCCCATGTGAGGGGGCGTGTTGAGATACGCCTCCCACTTTCTTTTATGGCGTTTCTTAGCACACGTAGGTTGTCCAGATATATATTCTCACATTGGTTGTACGTGCAACTAATGTGGCCTTTATAAGGTCTTGGGCACTCTCACCCTTAGGGGGCGTTTGGTTGCGAAGAAATTTTATGAATGATAGGGAAATGATATAGATAGGGAAATGATATAGATAGGAAAATAGTTGGAAAATGAGTTTGATAGGAAAATGTTAAAAAAAAGTTGTTTGGTTAGAATAAATTTTACTGGGCAAATTAAGTAATATTTATAAAGTCTATGTTTGGATGTAAGTAAAATATAGATGGGAAAGATGCATGAAATTACAAAAATAACCCTCATAAATTTTACTGTATCAGACATGTTGTAATATTTTTTGGAACTTATTGCCCATATACATGTTATTGTTTCTATGTTATAAGATAGGAAAAGTTACTCTCCATTTCCTGTATCAGTTTTGGCCGAATTACCACCACATATTGTAGTGTTCTTTATAAAGTAAAGCATTTGTGATTTGTGATTTGTGATCTGTAATAGTAAGCATTTGAAGATATCCTTCCATGAGACGATGAAATCATATGTAATTGGTCTCTTTTTAAAATATAAGCATGGTTCATCATCATAATTTCAATTTTTTTTGTGGCTTCCCTTTTAATTTGGAATCTATGTAGTAGGAGGGTCCAGATCAGTACAAAATTGACATCATAAAAAAGTAAATCGAGGCATAGTTACTAACGAAGGTGAACATAAAACATTATATGAAATAAGTTCTTATGAAGCAAATGAGTACATCATTAAAGTTGTTACATAAATCAATAACAGTGGCTGTTGCTTGTAAATATCCATCTACACACATAAATGCATTTGAGTAAAACGCTGTCAATGAACTTATACACCCTAAACCAAACAATGTCAGGCTCCTATTTTACATCTTGAGGTCATCCAAAGGGCATGTTGGAAGACAATAATTCTGAATATTCTTCACAGTGGTGTCAATCATGCCAGGCTGCTTCAAGTCACATTACCACACCACTTCGATCACAGGTCCTGCTCATGACCAAAATAAGGACTTCACCAGCTTGAGTAGCATCACAAAAAGTAATATGCCATGAAAGAAAGACAGACCATAGACCATGAAATTAATGAAAAGCATCAATTGAAGTGGTATAGAATATTTAAGATATATAATAATGGAAAGACTCAGAATGTTTGATACCTTAACATTCATTCTAAGTATAATTTCCTGGTGTTGGGGAGGAAGTTTTGCGATGTTCTCCAAGAGAATAGGTGCCAAATCTTCCTTTTCCTATTCCAAATTCACGGGGCATTAGATTGTCTCCACAAGTTCCATGATAAGCATTCCATAATGGAAAACAAATAATTTATAATTTGATAATTTAGATACAGTTGATTGAAAGAGATGAAAACGAATTTTTAAAAGAGTCCCAAATAAAGCTCTCTACTGATCAATTTTGTCTATCTGATAATGATATTCACCTTGAGGAAGCAGATTTAGAATTGCTATAGGAGGTGTTCAGAGTGAGAATTACTAAGCTAGCAATAAACAATTGCAGGCCAACTTGTTTATACGTCTCTTGCAATCCAAGTCCTATAACAGAAACTTCAAAAAGAAAACCAATCAGGCAACAACATGGAAAAGAAGTGTTAACACTAAGACAAAGGATGTAACAAAATGAACCTTCACTGTGACAAAGAATAAGGTGAAGGACAATAGAACCGAAAGTAGGCAATAGGAGCAAGATGACCCAGAGAATCTCGTGGTTAAAATGTACAAAAAATACGCACTAGCAGCTGCCATGGAGGTTGTGATTCCAAGCAATACAAGTTGAGCATTCGATTTGTTAATCCCAAAAGCTAAATTGTTTGTAGCCAATTGGAGACTAAGAGCAGCAACCAAGCCATACGCAGCCATCCCAATCATAGGAAGAGGAACACCTGCCAAATGCAAAAGAACGTTCATTCACACTATCTTTCAAACACTTTACCAGCAATGCAGTTCATCCACACAAAATTGAAATTCTGATAGAATCAAATGGCTATAAGGTTATGATACCGAAAACGACGGCGTAATCACTGTTGAGTATGTCGGAGCAGGCGGCGGTGCCGACGGGGCAAAAGGCTTCGGATTCGGTGAGCTTAAGGTAAGTGAGGTACGAGGTTTCGAGGAATCCGATTCCGGCGAGCCCTGCAATCAGCTTGTAAGCCCAACCGTCAGGAGGCATGGCGGTATCTGAATCCGAAGAAGAAGAGGAACATTTGAGAGGCAGTAATACAGGTTTCGGATAACCATGGAAGCGAGTCAGAGCTCCGAGACTGAAGAAACGAGAAGACGATAGTGACAGTGTGCTCAAGCTGAAGGTAGCCATCGAGAAGCTCTAATTGGATGGATGCTTTCTTCCGGTCGCCGTGTGGAAAGGTGCTCTTCAACCCACACAAAGAAGACAACGGCTGCAGACCACACAAGGAAGCAAAAATCCTATCATCTCTCCTGCCTTTTCAGAGGGTATAATGGGTGTGAAAAAATTCAGACAACAGTAGTTTATCCATCTTTTAACAAAAAACCACCTACAAAAAAGCTTTCTTAACAGTGCCAAAAGATGTCATTCCATGAGAAAATTGAAAAGCAATGCAAATTGGATGGATGGCCTTTTCTACTGAATCTATTCAACCAAACATTGGTTTTCTGAAATCCTTGTTTCATTTGCATAGGAAACTTGGCTAAAATTGTGAACCAAACAGCACCTTAGAGTTAGAGCTAGCTTTTGGGGTGGTGTATTCGTGTATCGTGAGGTTCTTTACAAAAAGGCTTGCGCTGTTGAACGATGACAGCTGGCAACACCTTCTTCCTCAGATCGGGGTTCCCCTTCTTCAGGGTGGCCATCACCATGTCGCCGACGTAAGCTGAAGCAAGATGGTTCAGCCGACCTTTGATTCCCTTCACCGAAATGATGTACAGATTCTTTCTCATCATCCTCATGGAAATGTGAGGATGAACTTATGTTAAGGATTTCTTCCTCATCATCCCCATCCAAAGCCTTCTTTTTCCAATGGAAATACCTCCTAGAGAAGGAGAAAGAAGAGTCATGAGGGGATTTGGCTGCCATTATAGTCTTTATCTTGAACAGAAAAAGAACATGGAAAAGAGAAACTTATCAAAAGGTGGTATTTTTTTGGGTTAAGAGTTACATGAGCAATAAAGAACAAAGGAGAGTAACGAAAGAAAGTTTAGCAAAGGGATTGATTAAGGTAGTCTGATTCTGTATTCTTCTCTCTCTCTCTTGCTCTGCTCTCTCTCTTTATTTTCGGCCTTATGGGTAGTGTGTTAAATGAGCTCGTGACCAGCTGCTAGATAGATGCTACAGTGTGGGGCTTCCTTTCCGTTTTTGTGCATTTTGTTGGAAATCGACAACACACAAATTTAAAACGGAAAAGAAAAGATAGAGAGCATAGACACAGCGATTTATACTGGTTCATCCAATTTAGGCTACGTCCAGCTTGTCTGTACTATATTCACCTCACCGCCACTCGTTACAACTTATAACTCTCTCGGTTTACAAGCCAAATATAAATAGGATTACAAAACCCTAACAACAGCTATTCATAGGCCCAAGCCCAAACTGCAAATTATAATAAAACAGAGGCCCACAACAGTATCTAGCCTCTAATTAGCCCATTATCAACCAATGTGAGACTCATCACACTTGAATATCCCAACAATCTCCCCCTTAAGTGTGAAACCCAACATTGATATGCTCCCCCTCAACCGAGTACGGGGTCCAAGTACTCAACTCGCCTCCTAGCCACAACCGAGTACGGGGTCCAAGTACTCAACCCGCCTCCTAGCCAATCACATGGCTAACTCGAGCACAACTCAGCTCTAATACCACTGTTAGGCGAGTCCAGGGGAAGCCCGTGGCGGGGGCCACAGCCACAACCGAGTACGGGGTCCAAGTACTCGACCCGCCTCCTAGCCAATCACATGGCTAGCTCGAGCACAACTCAACTCTAATACCACTGTCAGGCGAGTCCAGGGGAAGCCCGTGGCGGAGACCACAACCAATGAGCTAAGCTACTCCAAGTACACCGAGTGAGTTCGACACTACATCTCAACCCAAAACCTTAAGGCATTGGGTTCATGGGTCCTTCCACTTATATACTCTTTACTTAGCTCATTACCAACCAATGTGGGACTCATCACACTTGAATATCCCAACACCCCCGTCGGGGCGACTCCCTCGGACCCCCGCCCGCTCACCTGGGAGCGGGACCCCAGTTGCCTTTCTGCTGACCCTGACAACTAAGACCATCATCAGCATGCGAAGTATGAGCCATACCCAGCACATTTCCTTCCACCTTGCTTCAAAGCAAAACTTTTGTGTATTTTTTGTCAATCACCCAAAATGGGATCTCTGCATCATGCTTGTGCAGCACACTGAGTTGGGTAGGTGCCTTTCTTTTCTTTTTCTGCCATTTGTTCACGTGATCTGATTACACAATATCAGATTGGATTTGAAAATGAAGTGTGAATATGTAAATTTCTCTAACAATATTTGCTATTATATGATTGGATAATAATGCAAAAGTGTTTTTACATATACAAAGAATCAAAATTAAATCCTTGTTTTTGCAAATGTGAATAATGGGGTTTTATAGGTAAGGTTTAAAAATCGAAACTTGATTATTGTTATTACTTGTTTAGTTAAATTGTGTAATTTTTTGCAATTTCAGGTGTGGGTTTGCACAGAGCCAAGAAGCATATGATAGAGCGGCAAATGACTTATTTTGTACACTAGACAAGTTGGAGGATCACTTGGCCAATTCCCGCTACTTGTGTGGAGACACACTACTCACCCTTGTAGATATATGCCTATTTACTACATTGATTCGGTTTGATCTTGCCTATAATGTTCTTTTTAAATGTACCAAGAAGAAGTTATACGAGTATGTCAATCTACATGCCTACATGCGTGACATTTATCAGGTACATGAACGAAAAAGTTTACAATTTATGCATCAATTCTGTTGTTAATTGTAATTTCATGCTGAATACTAACTAAGCTGCGTGGGTGTTCATGGCATGATGGAAAGATTCCCAAGGTCGCAGCTACATGCAATTTCACAGAAATTATGGATGGTTACTATAAAATCCTGTTTCCTCTCAATCCAGGGAGCATTAGACCAATCATGCCTTCAACTTCTGAGCATGAAATCCTTTGCACGCCTCATGGCAGGGAATCCCTATCATCGTCTACGCCAGCATTTGTTAAATAGTGACCCACCTACCAACTCAAGGTTAAAGGTTGACCCTAAAGCACAAAGTATGATCTATTAGCCGTTGGTTCTGTATGTAATAGTATAATAATACGTAGCACGCATTTTATTTTATTTTTGGGTAATGAAGTGTATAGCATACTTTTACTTAATGTCATCACCTACTGTTTATGTTGCCTTAGCTTATTTTTATCCATTTTCTCAACTTGCTAGCGCCAAAAATTGTTACTGTAGTTGTAATTCAACCAATCTCTCATATCTAGTTCCTCCCGGGTCAAGGAAACACCAAAAATACCAATTTGTCTCTCATACAATCGTAATATGATACTCACCAAGGAAAAATAAAACATAACCTTGCATATATCACAAAATAAAATTCCAAAAACAACTGTAGGTTCCCATTCAAAAGGTTCCAAAGCCCTACGGATGCTGTAGTTGAACGTTTAAATATTAAGCTTTAAAACTGCGTCACGATATTGTTTTTAGTGAACAACTATTTTGGTAGCTGTAAACTCACACAAGTAACTATTCAGAAAGCTGTACAAAGTAACTTAGTTCCCAGCCACCAACTAAATAACAAACCCCAAAAAAGGAAAAAGCACCCCTACAGTAGGCTGCGACTCACTAACAACTCATCAACCATGGCATGGTTGGAGCAACAAAACTGGTTTTATGGAGAATGGCTATCATCCAGCAATTGACACAGATCTGATGAATCCTGCACAATGAAAGAGTAAAAATCAATTACTAAAATTAAAAATCAAAATAACGGTAAAAAATATAGATATAGATATACACATCAAATATAAAATAAAGATGAATAGATGCAGTCATTGAAAGAGTTTAACTAGAATCACTAGATAGTTTTCCACCATTAACTTGTATCCAAGGGATTCATCAACTTCACTAACATGTCTTACACCATAACTAGTTGATGACCTTTCGGAAATTAGTTTTTGCAAAAAAACCCAAAGGTGCTTTTGGTATTAGATGACACCACCAATCAGATATAGATGTGCTGAAGGAAGAATAGCATATATCAAATAGAACCCCGGATAAATACAGAATTGCATGAAGTATATTTCATAATTATCATTGTATCTGAGACTTGAAATACACAATGCAAAACAAATATTGAAAAAAAGTAGAAAAGGCTATACGAAGTATATTTCATAATTATCATTGTCAATTCGCATACGAATTGACAATATCCAGAGAAAAGGTAAAGGACCACATTTTTTATGAAGAAAAGAGAAAAGAAATTTTGCACATTTCCCATCAGTGGCAGATTGAACTTACTATTTGGTCGCTTCATATGCCTGCAGAATTTACTGCCACATCTGCACTGGAATAGCTTGGCAGGATGATCATGGTCATCAAAGTCAATGCCATAATCCTGCAGAAACACCATGAACATAAGTTTTTTCTAGAGAAAAAATCGATTCCTAGATTAATCAAATGATTTGATGAAAGTGAATTACACGAAATGAGCAGACACTGCTCATCATAATTCATAACCATACTACATGATCTGCCAACTAATCAATGCACATAGCATTTGTCAATTCAATAGCCCTAAACAACTAGAAAATCATTTCAACCATGAATATAAATCGAATTATCTCAACCTTGTTAGTTGTTGCTAATTAGTTCCCTACTTGAAAAAAAAGAGCAATTAATAAGCACCACAAAGAATTGAAGATGTTCCTCTAATATAGGATCATTCACCAAACACCATATTAAATAACCAAACTTACTCACCCAAGTGAGCTCCTCCTGGGCTGCTATTTTTCTGGTAGTGAAAAAGGCAAACTGCACATAATGAAACATTAAAAACATCAGTAAGCAAAATGTTCTACAGAGTCCGTCATGCCAACAAAAGGAAAAGAAAAACTACAGATGGAACTTCAAGGCATTGCTAACTTCTCACATGATAGTAGTAATGATCTGGGCCCTCAACTTCGACTGGGATCTCAACCAAGTTTGCATCAAGACATCTGTAAAAGTGAAATAGAATTTGATAGGTTCTGAATTAACAAAAGAAAAATAGAAGGGGACCACTAGGAGCAAGCTCCAAGCACAGTATTATTAACTGAAAAATAGAAACAGTATAAAAGTAGGACAGTAAATATAAGAATATCAGAGAAGCAAAAAGCAGTCTTTGCCTATGGCTTCAGTCACCCCCGATTACTGAGATCATCCAATTCCCATCACACCCTTCTCCATTCCCTTCATATTCACATTAACTTCCATGATCCAAGCATCCTCTACACCAATTCCCTGCTTCCACCTGTCCATTCACTTAAGTCTCCTTTTTTTCTTGCACACCAACCTTGTCCACTACATTTCCCAGCTCATTCCCTAACCTACCCTTATTCCCCCTCTCCTTTGTTTGGTATTCGTGAAGTGGTGGAGGCCCGTCAGAATTACCAATTTCCAAAAAATGCATCAAATATCTGTCTAGCAACTTTTTTCGAACAGAAGTTAACAAGACACAGTCAAAGTATCGAACCATCTGTGGCATGCAGATGGAAAGAATCTCAGTCTACTCATATTCAGTTATTAATTTCTTTATCCGTATTCATTAAAATTGGACCACTTCTACCCTAATTCTGTTTCAGATTTTGTATTACATATTTTTGTCTACACAGAATTAAATATTTCTGGTTCATATCAATTACATGGATAAAGTTTCCTGTCCTCTTATCAGAAGTGCATGTGTTAGAAACAAAGAGAACTACTTCCACTGTAAACTCAAGTTATTTATCTAGTTCATATAAAATTATAAATACATATAAAATTTGATGACATTTTCCCTGAAATGATTTTTTCTTTTTTTCTTTTTTTGCTTCACATAGTTTGTAAGTTGAAATTTTCCTGCCTGGTTTTGTATTCTTATGTTGGGAATTTCTTTATTCATTGAAGCACCAAATTTCAAAAGTGAATATAAATATCTTTGGTCATATAAATATATATCAAACAACTATATAAATGAATATTTTGTCTTTAGTTTTTCCAAAAATAAAAAGCGCAACCAAGCAATGCATTCCTATTTAAAAATAATAGTAAAAATTTGTATTGGATTAATTGCAAAGTGAAAGTTATTTGTTTGAAACGTGGCAACCAAAGCTAAAGCTGTAAGGTTTAAACATTTTGCTGCCCATGATTCACTCAGTAAATTGCTTGCTTGCTTCCCTTATACTTGAATCTTAGGGTGCCAAATTTGAAACAATGCATCAGAAATTTAATACCTGTGATTGATAAACCTAGCAGCGTTGCCAAAGGATGCTGCATCCAAGCACAGAGCTTCTTCATCTTTAACAAATCCTGAATCCCAATCGGCATCCAGTAGAATTGGGTATGTAAATTTCCCATTTTCGGTGTATTTCATGTTCCTCTCATGCAACTCTTTAATGGTTAATATTTCTCCAACAAACTCACAAACAAATGCACCTTTTGGCAGGTCCTCCAAGGTACGAAGACCCCATCCTTTTCCTTCTGAAGTAAAAAATACCTAAGTTCCAAATAACTATTAGAGAAAACATTTGAAGAATGTCGTATCAAGAAACACCTTAAGTATATAAATCAAGCATCAAAACTGAGGAAAATGTATTTGTTTACTAGTGGCAAAGATCACTTAAACACCCACCTCCAAGTTGCAAGTTATTCCTCGCTGGATAACCCTATTGCCACATTGTTTACCACAGCCACATTTGCTCCAACATTCTTTAATAAACTTCCTCTTTAAGTGTCCTTTACATGGTTCTATGCAACCATCATTCTTAGATCTTTCAAGCGGACAATCTTTGCAATAGAAGTAATGTTGTTGAGGGTTGCAGCTGATGGCAATGCATTCTTCCAGGAACTCTTCTTTCAGTAGGCCTTGAGCAGTGTATGCAAATTCACCCCCAGTTTTATTTGCACAAGCACAGGGTGTAGACAACAAGACACAATTGCCCATACAAGTTGAACAACAGTCCCCACCCCCAATACGAGACAGAGAAATGTTAACATAAGCATCTTGGAATACAAGGTTTTGGGGTATGTAGTTAAAAGATGGGGGGAAATCATTAGTTGTTTCATTCACCCATGAAATTTGAACACTTTCTTCTCCTTTTGTAAGGTCATGAACATCATGAAAAGACCTTATATCATCGGCTGTAAGCTGATGCTGTGGAACAACCACTAAACTAAGTGAATTTGGACACATAGGATCCTCCAGCTCCTTTCTGACATCACTTTGAGAAATATCATTTGTTCCATCCACCTTGGAAACCAGTACAGAAACATCTAGACAGCTCAGGTGGGCTGGAGAAAAAGGACTTCTGGGTGGAAACAAGGCAGCAGAAGAATTAACATTAGTTGATCCATTTGAAGTGGGAAGAAATATGTCCAAATCTTTATTTCCTTCAACACTCAGAGTGTCATGTGCCTCTGATTCCTTCAACACATCAGCACTTGATCTTATCACAGAGCCATCTTGCGAATCATCATTTGAACCAGTTCTGAATTCCAACAGGCAGTCACATACATCTCTCAACAGTTTCAGAACAGAAAAATTTGGGTCAGTGATTTTATATGATCGCGAACATTTAGCCTCCATCATTTCTAGAAGTTGATCTCGATTAGGCATTTGAAAATCTGGTCCCAAAAGAGCTGAGCTGCAGCTCAGAGAAATTTTTACCTCTCCCAGAGTTGACGAGGCTATCTCTACATTTGAAGTCACTTTTTCATTTGAGGAAGGAGGAATATTTTCATCTCTATGTCCTTCATCTCTACTTTGTGATGATGCCACAGTGACATGGCCACCTTGCTTTCCAGCTGCACCATTCTTCATTGATGAGACCCTTACACTTGATGATTCTTCAAAAAAAAATTAAAAAAAAAAATCATTAATCAATCTATTTATGAAAATGAAAGTTTGTTGGCAACACAATAACTAAAAGAAAAATAGCAACACAATAATTAAAAGAAAAATAAAAGACACAAAAGTGACATTTTCTTTGGTTTTAGACAATGATAAGACCAATTCAGATGTCAGAACTCTGGCTCATTTTAGATATACAAAATTTCAGTACTTCTGTAGTACTGAACACTCCCTGCATCACCCACTACAATTAGAAAAATATAACTCACCTAACTGTATTTAGTCCACTGACAGCGTTGATGTTAATATCACACAAGTCCCACTTATTTCTAATTTTATTAAAGGAGCACGTACCACGCAAGTCCTGAAAATTTACTCTACATATACAAGCAATGACCAACATAGAGCATCTTGTGACAAACTTTCTGGAAACACAAAAATCAGTATAGACTTGTATATTGCATATGCCAATTAGAGCATATGGTGAGGCCACAGTGCCTCACTTCTACCAGTTGACAACTAACGTGATCCAATTATGCAAACACCATAAGAAAGATGCTGGCATTTTAAGAGGCAAAAAGAAACAATACTCAGGTTCAGTTTAACTAAAAAAAATTTACAGCCAAAGCAAAATTTATACATTGACTTCTTACTTCTTTTCAGGCACTGTGGCATTAAAGACTTTTCCTGTATTTTCGTAAAAAAATATTTCCATCCAATCCACAATACTACCAAGCAAAAACGGTAATTACTATTGAATTCATCAAAAGTTGACCATGCTTGGACTGTAATTTGGACACCCCAAACCTCAAGGTTTGGGGTTTGCAAACTGAGTTTCATCCACAAATAACATGTTTGGCAAAACCAGGGCTGGATTGTGTTTGAACACGTCTTTGGGTATCAATCAATGGTTTGAAAGGAAGTAAAAAAAAAGTTTCTTTTCTGATGGGTAAAACCATGGTTTACAAACTATAATCCAAACAAGCCAGTTACAACTAAGATATCATGCCACTAAAAACGAAAGGTAGACAAAAAGCATGAAACTTGTCATCGAGGAATAGTCTATTGAATACCAGGAGGAATCACTGCAATGGGACGGGGAACCTCATAATCAAGCAATTCATCAACAGGCTCATCCTTGGGTATGATCAGCGTATGAATACCAGGCATTCTGTTGTTTGGCAACAGAAACTTTCCAGTTTCAACTGTTGGTTCTTTAGATGGTCCTGATGGGGATGCTCTTTCAGACATAAATCTTCTTTTGCTGCGGGTAACTTGTGATGATGCAGGTTGCTTTCCCCTGTCAACAATACCATCTCGTGTTGGAATTGGGAGTGCTTCAATCCTCGCATTTCCATCGGATGAGAATATTTTCTTTTGAGACTGCTGTCTAGAACGACTCTCGGATAATGTGTTGTCTTCTAATTTTGGCTTTTTTAATGGAGGGGTATCTGAGCTGGGGGCACTATTAGTCAGAGGATGCAAAGGCTGACTCTCTTGACCTCTTAAACGCAACCTTTTCAAAGGTCGGGCTTCTTCAACATGCATCTGTTCTTCGTCGACCTCCATCTCTTCTTCCTGGTTGTTTGGAAAGGCAGAAGTCATTTCAGCAGCTATAGACATTGAAAAAAAGAAAAAGAAAGAAAGAAAGAAAGGCTGATTAACTCAGCCAACAAAGAATTATGAGTGAGTGTTATGTACATCAACTTTCTTGGTTTTCTTTTTCTGTTCTGGCACCTGTTAAATTATATCAGATAATCAAGTAAGTATTCAGAAGAGACACTCTGGGGAAAAAGGAAAAAGATATAGAATAAAGTGGGAAATACACCTCATTTTCATCGTCCTCAAATATAGCATCTGCCAGAGCTCTATAGTTTTCTTCCTCAATAAGTTCCCAATTCTTATCATACAACTTCAGGAGTTTCTTTAATACTGGTTTCACTTTCGATTCACCAATCCCAATAACTGACATTGCACGGTAGGCCGCTACCACTCTTGCATTGGGTGCCATTTCTAATCAGCCAAAAGTTACTTTCACTACAGGCTCCCAAGTGTAAAACGCCCCTAACTTTCAAAGATTTCTGCAATGGGAAATACAATATATGATTTATGAGCAATTAAGCTACAAAACCTAAACATTCTTCTGGTAGTAACTTAGCAAGCAGCAGCAGGGGAGAACACAGAAATATCAGTCACCCAAATTTTCAATAACTGGAAGAAAAAAAAAACAAAAAAAAAAAACTAAGCATATAAACCAAATTCAGACAGACAACAATTAACAAAAGAAATTAAATGACAAAAAAAAAAAGGTTCCTATTTTGACATATAGATATAATATCTTATTCCATCATCCTTTGTAAGAAAACTTTTTTGTAAGTAGTAGAATATAACCCTTCCTAGGTTTTTTTGTTTACAATAAACTATCCAAAGGCATCAATGAGTCAAAACTTCTCCATCATCATACTCTTTCTAGACTTAAAATTCAAAGCGAAAAACAAACAACATTAGATACATAAATGTATAGCTGAATAGTTAGGGTAACAACTGCTCATATCATTTGGCGCATTTAGAAAGAGCTAAGACAATGGAACAACAGGTGCTTCTGGCTCCTCAAGCAATACGCGTTGAGTAAAAAGACAAAGCTTAGAAATTTAAGAGCTGTAACTATACAAGACACACACTCGTTTCCCTAAGTGAAGTGAGTGAATGAACCCACAATTACACACAGAAATTTCTTAAAGTTAAGCTTTGAAAAATGATCACAGAACATGAATTTTTTACATGCGCTAGCAAGGAAAGCGAAAACCTCAAGAAGAACATGCAATGGAAAATTTGCACACAACACAACATTGATCTTTCCCACCCAAAACCTGGAATTGACCCCAAACCACATTGAAAAAAAAAAAAAAAAAAAGCACACACACAGACAGAGACAGAGACAGACAACATATTTCACAGTAAAAAACGAAAAAAAAAAAAAAAAAAAAAAAAAAAAAACCTTGGACCTTGGAAAAAGCATAGGAAGAATACCTCAGAGAGAGAAAACAATGTACTGAGGAAGCGTCACCAGCAAAACGAGGTTTCAGAAGACCAACAGTGGAGAGAAATAACAAAAATCAGAAAAACATTGTGGTGAATAAAATAAGGGAAAAGCATATATCCTTTTAAAGGATATAATTATATCCTTCTAAATCTTAACCGTTGATTTTCAACGGTTATAATTTATTAGGCCAAATTTAATGGGCTAAATTTATTATTAATTAATTAATAATTTTAATCCAAATCCAATAAATTATAACCGTTAATGAACAAAAATTAATGATTAAGATCTAAAAGGATATAAACTTATATCCTTTTAAAAAAGATAGATATTATTTTCATAAAATAAAAGAACACAAAAATTAAAAATTAAAAAAGAAAAAGTTAAGAGTATATATAGGAGAAGAAAAGTTTCTACATTTCTGAATGCTGCTGACGAAGTATTTGGGGAAAATAGGGCACAATAGTTAAACTCTATAGCTTTCATCTTCCCTTTGTTTTTATTATTGTTTGAACATCTCTTCCTCCTTTTGCGTCCATTATTTATTTATTTATTTATTTTTATTTTTTTGATATCATCCATTATTTATTTTCTGTCAAAAGTATCAATCACTTCTACAACCAACATTTTTGAATTTTGATCTTATTGCTTTAATTTGCAAGATAGTGCAGTTTTAAAATAAATTATATTGATATAGATACATTATCTTGTTATTTAAAAATACATTTAAATTGATGAGTTTTATTATCTGTTATTAATTGTAACAAAATATTTTTAAATTATCAACATTAGGTCGAAATGGGTTAAAATAAAATGTGACCCAAATCTGACCTTAAAATATACTAAAGGATGTATTGGATTGAGATTTCAAAGGATTTTAATATATTATTTTTAGACAAAAAAATCTGTTAGTATTCGATTAGAATTTTAATAGATTGAAAGAAAGTCATGTAGTATTCGATTAGGATTAGGATTTTAAAGGATTATTTTAGAATCCGTCCAAATCCGTTGGTATTCATTCAGGATTTTAAACAATAGAATCACAATCTCGTGGTATTCAAAAATCCGACGATTTTAATGAATTTTCTATTGGTGTGGATTTCGTGAAACTTTTTAGTGAAAAATATAAATAGGATGCCTCTCTCACAATCTCATCTTAACCCCTAGAATTTTTTGAGATTCTTCTATTGTAGTGTTTTCTTCTTCCTTTGGCAAGTTGACTGCTCGAAATTGAGTTTCGCCATGGGAGCTTCATCAAAACTAAAATATTTTTGAGCGATTTTCATCACAAAACAACTTAGAAACAACAAATCAATGAGATTTTAATATAATCTATCTCAAAAATAACATATTTTTGAGTCATTTTTTAGAATTTTGGAAGTTTAAAAAGTGATTTTTCAAGTTATGGGTCGCGATTTTTCTTGGCACAAAAACGTGTGTTTTTTGTATTAAAAATAACATAAAACAGTGAAAAAATAACATGAGAACTAAAACCCTCAAACTAATTTTCGTTTTACATCAATAGGACAGGCCATATCTAATATTTTTTTACGTAGACTTAGCCTATTTAAGTCAAAGCCTAGCCTAACCCAACCCATTTACACCCCTAATTTGAGTGGAGATGCATCTCATGAAAAATCAAATAAGAGGTTAAATTAAAAATTCAAGTATCTGAAGAAAAAAAATTAAAGGGAATCAAGGGTCCCAAATATAATAATAATAATAATAATAGAATAAAGTTTCTAATGTTATTTTAAAAAAATTTATTTAATGTTCAACAAAATGAAATCGTTTTGGGATTAAAAAATTATAATAATAAATATTATTATAGAATAAATTAAAATTACAAATATAACATGATTTTGTTTTAAAACAGCGTCGTTTAAATAAATATTAGACAAAAATTTTAGCATTATATTTGCTCTTATTTTTATTAAATATATATCCATGCCTTGTGAAAAATAAGGCATAGATTTTTTTGGGGGGTATTCTTGTAATTAAAGTAGAAAAATGACAGCAAATCAAAAGCAATAAATGAAGGGCGTGATGAAGGAAAACACCTCAGTAATGAAGGTGTCAAAAAAATCTGTAAAGCCACTGACAGTAGAAATTTTCAAGAAAGCATTTCAAAATTCCAAGTGTTTTTTCTATCATTTATTACAATATGTTTAGAAATTTAAGTGCTATAACTATGAGACACACGAATCGTTCCGCACTGTAAAAGTTACCTGCGTTTTTAAATGCTTACTATTTTCTTGATTGTGGCAAATAAGGGCAAGTGTTAACTCTAATTACAGAGGTGATAATATGGGTTAAATCAAATTGATGGGTCAATTCGTCAAAATAAAGCGGGTTGGCTTGTCGGATCAGTTTTTATTTATTTATTTATTATTATGTAGTATTTTATTTATTTTTAAGTTTTTGTAATATACAATTTTTTTTATTTTAGTATTCCCTAAAAAAAAAGAAAATAAAATTTTTATTTATGACAAATATTATCTATATGGGGAGAGATCATTTGACTCCAGAGTAAGATTTAAAAGTCTTACTCTTCATCCCAGCCCTTGATTTCCGTTCATCCAACGGTTATCATTTAGTAATTTAATGCATTAATTAATTATTAATTTCAAATAAATGATAACCGTTGGATGAACGAAAATCAATGGCTGGGATGAGGAGTAAGACTTTTAAATCTTACTCTGGAGTCAAATGATCCCTCCCCTATCTATATATGAAGACAAAAATAAGTTCTTAAAGAATGTTTAATTGAATATTAATATACATTTAAACTTGACATTGAAAAAAATTAAAAAAAGTGTGAAAGAAAAATAATTAATATTATAAAATTAATAAAATATAATTTACTTTTAACTTTTAATTATTTTTAATTTTTTGGACGGATTGACATGTCAATTCACCACAAAACGAGATGGATTGAAATTTTCAACCCACATTCAAACAACGGGTCGAGACGGACCAACTCATTTTCAGTAGATTGACAGATGGGTCGGAGCTGGCGTACCGTTTTGCCACCCCTAACTCTAGTTTCCACCATCCCTTGCTCTTTTTATTATTTTGAGTTACCGCCGACTCCACTAGTGACTACAATTGATAAAGAGTAAGAGTCACTTAATTGCATTTGCTTTTATTGTTTCTTTATTAGTAATGTTTAATTTAATTATTTTCAATTTGAATTTTAATAAAAAATGTTACAATATGAGAGTGTATGGTATAAGAGCATTGCTTTCACAAATATTTTTTTTAGAGAAATATAAAATTATTAATATAACATCATTCAACCGCTTAAGTTTTTGGATTAAGTTAATTTTTTTATGTGATATCTGAGCTCGGTGTCACAAGTTCGATTCTCACCGTCTTTATTTAATTAATAATTAATTAAGTCTTATGGATTTTCTTAGTATAAGTAAGTGTGTCAGGTGGCACAATTCATGAATTCCCAAAGGCTCCATATGAAACTTGAAACAGGAAATAAAAAAAATACAAAAAATAATGTGTTCCCCAAGGGGGTCTCGCGGAGAACTTATTACAAAAATTGAAAAAACATATAAAAGCAGTTTTGTGAGGACCAGTCAGCGGAACTAAACACCCTCTACCGGAAAAATAACTTTGGGGGCATACCAAGCATGTAAAATGCATATGGTAACACCCCTCAAATGGTCAAATAACTTCTCAATTGTATCTCTTGTAAATGGAGTAGCTGTTTTTGTAGTACAAAAAAAAAAAAAAAAAAAGTAGTAGCAGTTTTGATGGCTCCGTAGAGGTGCTAAACGAGTCAGTGGGTTTATAGGGGCATTTGGCTCGGCTCGTGAAGACCTGAGCTTTTATGTCTAAAATTGATTGTTGGAACCAGGCTACGACTTGTTTAAAAGCTCGTTTAATAAAAAAGCTTTAGGCTCCAATTCAAAAGCTCAGCCTTAGAACCTCTCAGGCTGACATAATATATTAATTTTTATTTTTATTTTTATTTTATATTTTTTATACTACTTGTGATAGTCATCTCTCTCTCCTCAATCAATTTCATCCCATTTTATTAATTAAACAGACTTTTTGAATGATTTTGTTTTATATTATGCTGTTTGGATATACATTAAATTTATAAATATTTATGGAATTACTAATGTTGTTAACTATATATTTTGTTTGGATAAATTTTTGTTGCCTTATTTTGTTTTAAACAGGCTAAACCAGACTTTTATTTTTTGTAAATAAGACAGGTCATAGACTGAAATTCTATTCATAACAGATAACAAATTTGATCAGGCTGACACATTTAAACACAGGCTTAACCTTTTAAGACCAACATTCGGCTCGGCTCGTTAACACCCCTAGCTCCGGGTTTACTAATTAAGGAAAAGTTTTAAAATTTTAACATGATTTGCATTAAAATCATTTAATTATTTATAAAAAAAAAATATCACTTATATTGTTGTGGTTTTTTTTTAACCAAGTCCACTTTTGACACTGTTAAATACTGGGCTTATATATTTATTTCGCCCCTGCCAACAATAACAAAATATAGGAGATGTAAGTGATCAATAAAAGAGAAGTATTAGGAGATAAGTGATAAGATATCAAACCACAAGATAATTTTCAAACTTTTCCCTTGTAACAATATTTTTTTTTAAAAGGAAAAAGCTTGAAGTGTGGAACAATATGAAACGAAACAAGCTAATCTGGTATATGACACATGCAAATAAATGGTGTTCTGTTTAATGTCCACTGTATTTTGTTACCCAAGAAAAAAATGTGAATGTCTCATTGTGAAAAAAATTTAAAATTGATACGATTATCGTTATGTTTTTTTTATACTCTTCCGACTTATTTAAATTAGAATTAAATAGTGTAAAATAAGATTACCAAAAAAAAAATAGTGTAAAATCTTTTTTTTTTTAAATATAAACATATTTGTTATTGGTGTATTTTATTATTTTAATTTTTTAAATATTTATTTTATTAAAAATAAATAGATAGAATTAAAATAAAATAAAAAATTAAACTATTAGGATAATAATAATTTATTCTTTAACAACCATCTACATGTATAACAATAATGCAT